CTTCCCTTCACCTAAGATCATTCTTATCTACTATCTAGTTAGTGAATAGATTTGGTGAATTTTTTAAAATTATTTTTTGTTGTGCTGAGTATATGTATATACATATACATATATATACACACACACACGTTGTTGTTGTTAGGTGCTGTCGAGTCACTTCTGACTCATAGCGACCCTATAGGACAGAATAAAACTGCCCCATAGGGTTTCCAAGGAGCAGCTGGTAGATTTGAACTGTTAACCTTTCGTTTAGCAGCCGAGCTCCTAACCACTGTGCCACCAGGGCTCCATACACACACACACACACACACACACACACACACACACACACACACACATATGTATATATGAGTAGAGAGAGAGAGGCCTGATGGCGCAGTGGTTAATACAGAGGATTTGTTAAATTATGGTATATCCCCACTGAGGAATACTATGAAGCCCAAAAAATAAAAATCATGATTTTGAGAATTTTTAATGGCATGGGAAAATGTTCATAGTAACTAAAATGTTAAGTAAAAGAAGTAGGAAACAGAACTGTAGTAAAGTATGACCCTAATTTTTCTTTAAACACTAATAAAGTAAAACCTGTGAAAGCCGGCACCTGGGTAAGGCAGAAACCTGTCAGAGAAGGAAAACTCAAATATTTTCCACTAACAGAGCAATGGAAAAGTGGTAAGACCGCACCCTGTCAAAGGCAGAAAACCTTCGAGACCCAGAAAAGCAAGGCAGTCCCGCGGAGTTCTGGCTCTCACGGGTTTCACTCTGTATATGTCTAAATATGAGTTGTGCTGAGCTGTTTACCATACCCACAGATAAAAGATTTAAAGGAAACAAAGGAGCATATCAAATATATAAAATTTATGCTGAGTTATCTAAATTTCTATATGAATTTCTCTATCAGAGAAAAATGTTATACGTTTTAAAGTAAAACGTACCTTGCAGATCCAAGGTGGTCTCATTATTTTGAGTTTGGAAGCGTTAGCGGACAGAACGCTTCATCAGTACAGTCAACCCAGGCAGGTTTTCATTACAAGCTGCCTTCTAGATTGCTCGTTGAGTTAGCTCGCAGCTGCTTGCTTTAAAGACAGTTTATCAGCCAAATCCCGCGAGCGTTGCAAATGGTTAACGCCCTCAGCTGCTAACAAGAGGTTGGAGGTTCGCGTCCACCCGGAGTTGCCTTGCAAGAAAGCCTGGCGATCTAGTTCTGAAAAATCAGCCACTGAAAGCTCTATGGAGCGCAGTTCTGCTCTGGCACAGGTGGGTCACCATGAGCAGGAGGTGACTTGACGGCAGCTAGTTGGGCTGTTTGAACAGCAACCTGTGTTACGTGTCTACTATATTCTCAGTTCCTACTCGTGCTCTTGAACTCGCCCGTGGTTAACCTGGATTCCCATCTTCTAATTTGAATGTGATGTTGGCTTTATTCAAACTATGATCAAAGATTCATAGAATAGTAAATCTGGAAGAGATTTTTATAACACATCTGTATAACCCTGCTATTTTGTGGGAAAGGAAATTAGGCCCAGGAAGATGAGGTAAACTCATCCAGCCACACTGCTGGCTACTGGCAGGGATGGAAATAGAACTGTGGTCTCCAGGTTTCTGATCCAACACTCTTGGACTGTGTATTGTAGTTGAGTAATTAGTAGTTTAAGAAAAACATGCAAAGTTCAGGAAATACAGAATTATTTTCTCCTCCACCTCTTTTTTCCTGAAGTAATAATTCTGGTCAGGCTGATATTTTAATTAGTAAATACTTTAAATCTGGATTGATATATTAGAGCTGTGTTTTAATAGCTTCATATATGAGTATTTATATATATGTATATATACATTTTTTTTTAAAGCAAAATGTGATGTGTAATAATGTAGACGAATTCAAGTAAAAATTAAAATTATGCTCAATTTTCTAAATCTGGTTATTACATCTGCTGGAAATCTGTATCTTCTTGTTTAAATATCCTCACTGGTTTATTTAGTTCACTATGCTTTCCCACAAGCAGGACAGAAAATTCGATTCTTGTATTTGCAGAACATTATTCTCTTTGAAAACCACTGGGAAAAACCGATTCTTTTTAGTTCTCTGGTACAAAAACTTCATTTTCTGATAACTACCAGGTTACTTTTAGCTGCTTAAGAAGCAGCAGAGCCAGATTTTCTGCTCTTCTGCTCAGAAAATCCAAAGCTCTTTTAAAGACTTAATCTTTTAAAGCCTGGCTTTGTGCTCCATTATCATTTCGTGAGCTTTTTCCTCACTGTCAGTTGAACTGTTTGAGAAATTTAGCTACTTAAAGCAATTTTTGACATAGTTTCTTCCAGCTACTTCCTCATTGTCAAAATAGCAGTCATAGCCCTAAGCTGATGAAGCTTAAAATGCTTTATAAGCTTTATGTATTTTTATTTTAGTCCAAAAGCCATATCTAAGTATAGTAGAAAGAGGGGGGGAGAAAAAAAGAATTTAAGTTTTGGTAAGACCAGTGCTGATTGTCAATTACTTTTCATTACCACTTTAAAAAAAGATTCATTGAAAGCAAGCTTTCTTCAGCTGTTACCACTTAATAATTTTAGGTTTTTTTTTTTTAAGTTAAAGTATGACACCTGTGCTCATAACAAACACAAGGAAGCAACTCCAGGGCACATAGTTTCTTTGTCTTTTGACCAAAGTTATGCATTACAACTTTTGGGAAATTGATGAGTTAAGGAGACATTGAATGGGCTTCCTGCGTTTACATTGTGAATGTGTCAGTCTCCCTTATTATCAACCTCAGGAAGCACCACGCACAGACACACACACAAATTTTGGAATAATTTCAAACTTAAAGGAGAATTGCAAGAATAGTACAAAGAACTCGTGAACTTCACTCAGATTCATCAGTTAGTAACATTTTGCCGTACGTACCTTATTATTCACTGTCTCTCTCTGTTTCTCCATATCTGCACATTCCTTGTTGCATACACATATTGCGTATTTTGTTCCTAAACCATTTGAGGAAGTGCAGACATCTCGGTACTTTACTCCTAAATAACTGATTTTAGTGTGTAGGATCAAAGCTGGGAAATTTAGGGTGGATCAAATATTGTTACCTAACTTTATCTTATTCAGAGTTTACCAAATGCCCCAGTAATGGCCTTTTATATCATTTTACGTCCTAACCAAGATTCCATCCAGAATCATGAATTAACATTTTATTTGCATGCCTCTTAATCTCTTCATCTGGAACAGTTTCTCAGTTTTACTTTATCCTTTTCACAGCCTTTCCCTCAGCTTGGGTTGGTCTGATTTTTTTCTCATGGTTAGATTCAGCTTATGTGTTTTTGGCTGGAATACAGTATAAGCAGCACTGTGTCCTCAATGCATCATGGTAGGAAGCACATGATGTCATTTTGTCCCATTATTGGTGATATTTAGATTACTTGATTAAAATGAGATGTGAGTGTTTGACAAAAAAAGAGATTTCTAACTCTGATAACATGAAACTGATAACAGGAAAATGTTATCAGGGTTAGAAAAATGAACACTTCTTCCCTTTTAAAATGAGATCTTATTGCAGTGCTGAAATGCATCCGGACTAAATTATTTTAAAATCCCACTGAAACTGGTGCTATTTCCTAAGGATAGCTGGATGCTTCTAATGTAGATTTTTACTTTTGAGCTCTGGTTGGCCTCCGTTTTATAGAATGATCTGGAGGCATTTAATGGGTTTCATGCATTTACTTTGTGAATGTATCTGTCTCCATTATTATTAGCCTTAAGAAGCACTGTGGGAAGTACACTCCTAGGGTCCAGGAAGGCAACCTGCATGTCATCTAGGAACACAGGATAGCAAGGGGGTGGTGCCTGTACAGGTATGATTTCACCTGTGGCTTATAGTGAGTGGAGGCAACTGTGAAGAACATTCCTGGCACAGAGTCCCCCTGCAGTGACATTTCAGTAGACGCTCTCGGGTCTGGAGCCGTTATTCGCACTTTACCTGGTGACTGGGTCAGTACCTTCACCTGCCTTGTTCTCACAGCTAGGTGCTCCTGTGTTAAGTATATGATTCCACAGGGACCCCTCACTCCCGCCCCAACCCTACACAGTCTGGGATGGGATTTTTAAGCTGGGAATAATCATTCTTGTTTCAGAATGATTAGAACGATCTAGCTTCAAAGGGGATGTTAGGAAAGCTCTGGAAGGAATATGGAGGGTTCTAACCAGAGGGCTGATGTGTTACTGGGAGAGGGTGTGGCTGTGAAGGAGAGGAGCTCCTGGCGATTGGATTTCATTCATGTCCCCAGGAGCCATTTAAGAAACACGGCCCTTTTCTATTTTCCCTCAGATGATTGGTGAATAAAGTATAGTGAGATGGATCCAGCACTCTAGATTTGTATCAGATACTAAGTGCATTAGTGGAATTGTTTATCAGCTTTATTGTGTGGCCAGAGGTGGAGTGTGGGTCTTGATACTGAAGAACACAGCCGCTGGCCACTTTACTTTCCAGCTGTAATCAAGACAAGCTAGAGCAGAAAAACGATCGCAGCCTGTTCACAGGCGAGAGAACAGAGGAAGCAAACATGTCTGCTTCGATGTATTCTTCCTGTAGGTTTTCTCTTCTTTGGAATTTTTACTCCAGTCTTTTGAGTTTTGAAAACGGCCATATTTGACCTTCACACTCATACCCTCTGCACTGAGAACCAGATCATTTTGTTCAGTAGTGTGAAGACAGGCCCAGAGGGAACAGGACTAAGGAGCACTTTACTCGCATCTGGGAACATCAGGAAGGAACTCTCAGCTGAGCCTGGAAGGTGAATAGGAGTTATCCTGGGGGAAAATAGGGAAACACACGCCTGCTAGTCCCAAGAACAAGGCACGGAGGCCTGATGTAATAGATACATGTGGGAATTACATAATAAAGTGCTCCCAGGGCAAAGGGTTAAGTGGACAGAGGTGGAAGATGACACTCCTCAAGTGAACAGAGCCAGATCCCAGAAGACTGAAGAGCTAGGATCACCATATGTAGGTGATGGGAAACCACGTAAGGGTTTTAAGCCGTGGAATGGTGAGTGTGATTGGATGACTTTGTAAAGGATGCGTTTGACTGGGGTCATCTGCAGGCTGGGTGACCAGCTAGGAGGCTGTTGGAGAAGTGGACGCAGGAGAGAAGGAGGGCTTGAACCAGAGATGGAGGCAATGGTCGGAAATAAGGAGAGGGTTAAATCAGTAAGACCGGTTATTTGGTTTGATGTGTCCAGGAGAATGGGGCCGCTCAATCACATTACCTCTAACATAAAGGTATCACAATGTATTTCATAGACATGCCACAAAGATTGTTGATATGTGAAAAGATGTACTTAATTTGTCCTAAAATTAGAGTCATTAACAACTAATATACCCCTTTTTGCTTTCATTTTAGACTGTAGGACTAGGGGACAGTTTAATGCCTTTTCATATCATTTCCGAGGCAAACGATCACTTGAATTCAGCTACCAGGAAGATAAGCCCACAAAGAAAACAAGACCACAAAAAATACTGAGGTACGGCTGTCGACATGGGTAAAGTTGTGTGTGCAGAGCGGACCTCCCACCCTCCTAGAAATAGTCTGAAAGTCTCACCAGTAGCGCCATTATTGTACTGTTGGGGATTGAATGGATTGCAAGGGCAGATCTCTGCTACCACCAGTTCCTCCTCGTGACTGGTGGTGGACATAGGCTGGTATGCTGGGGAGTGGGACAGGCTTGTAGCCTGTGTCCTGCCTTGTCTGCCCTACATGGGCTGATAGCACAACATCCATCAAGCTCAGAGTCAAGCATCTACCTACCTCAGTGGCATAGGGGACCGCCATTCAAGCAACTTTCAATTTTCCTTTGAGCTCAGAAGGTGTCGGGCTTTGAACTTGTATAAAATGACACCGATTGTAACCTCCTGAGATTATATTTTGCTTCTCTTTTTTCCCTCCCTACAGTGTTGTAAAACACAACAAGTATTTCAATAACATGACTTCAGCCTCCTATGAACATGCAAAGGTACCAGGGACAAATGACTTCAAAGAATTTGTTCTAGAAATGCAAAAGACCATCACAGACCTCAGAAAACAGGTAACAGGAAGTATAAGCCACTCTGTCTTTGTATCCAATCATCATCTTCAATAGCATAAATCCTTCCTACCTATTTCAAAAACAACATTTTATTTAGTAGATGATTCTGAAGGTGTAAATTCTGCCCCAACACTTGGTAATAATCCTTAATCCTTCCAACTACATGGCCTAGAACCTCTAGTAAAAGGTATTTCTGTTTGCTTCGTTCTTCCTTTTCGCCTTGTTTGCAACTGAGTCACATTGAACTGTTGTCCCCAGGCCTCCCCAGTCTGATCACGGAGGTGGAGGAACACTTGAGCACTGCAGAAGCTGCTGTTGCTGACTGCAGGGTGCCAACCCTGTGATGGTTGTTGGAGGGATGGGAGATACACATTCCTTTGCCTATTGGAAACACTAATACCATATACCATATTTTACAAAAATAACACATGCATTGTATGTTTTTACAACTGTGCCATGTTATTTTTGTAAGCTTGTAAACAAATAATTTCTTTTATAAGGATCAGCACAAAGCTGGTTCCTATGAGGTAGAGGTTAAAGATGTCCCAAACATCCCACTTTTCCAAGCTGATGTACCACTCCATCATCTCTAATATCAACTACTCCCTCTCCCCTCAGTACTCTCCCTCCTGTCTTTGGGTTCCCTAATTTGCTGCAGCGTCTCACAGAACTCACTAACCATATAAAGGAAAGGACTCGCGGTTATGGAGGCTTCGGGTCTCTGCTGCTGGTCTGTCCTTCCTTGGTGATGGCCGGCTCTTCTCTCTGCTCTGGAATTGGCTCCCTTTTAAGGCAAAACTGACCAATCCCCCTTGGTGGGCCACAGTTATCTTGTGTGCACAGCCCCGCCCAGTCACCTGGGTGGGAGATACAAGACCATGGAGAGAAAGGCCATGCTAAGTAATTCATCCCACTGTAGCACGCTGTGCCAGTTTTCTTTTTTTACATGTTGCTGACTTCAATTTCTGTTTCTGATCACAAACGTGAGGTGTACAAGAAGCAAGGGTCCTTTCATAGGCCTATGCTCACAAGCACGTGACTAAGGTGACTTCTGATCATTGATCGAAGCCGTTGACACTAAGAAGACACAATTGAACTGTAAAATAAGCAGACCTAACATAACTTAGTGGTTGCGCTTAAGATGTTCTGATAAGCTTTTCGTATTCAACTGTTGAGCTAATGTGCTTTAATTATCAATTTAACAGAAACAAACACACGTTTTCTATTGTTTCTTTTCTGGCTACGGGGGACTACCGAACTCGATCCATGACTTCTTGATCATGGCTTATACCTTTATGACACAATTAGGATCAAAAGTAACATTTTGGACTGTTTGTATACCTATAAGCTGGAGAGTAAAGAAAATGCATAGAGCAAAAAAAATGAACAGAATGATATGATTTATCTGTAATATGGGAGGATGGGTGAATGAGGCCAAAATTCACTTCTGGAAATGTCACAAGACGGTGCGGTATATGCATGGGTGCACTGTGCCAGAAGTTTTACTTAATTTCCTCATTTCTGCACATTGTATGTGTGTGCACACTGTTTACATGGGTGCGTTGTTTGTGAAAAATACAATAAGCCCTGTGAGTGTGTGTTCAGGATTTGGACATTTTGGGAGAAAACAAATTTGAATTCTTGACCCACTTCTTCAGTAATAGCTTTTAAGTAACTATTCCCAAGAAGTGGTAGGAGGTGTTTTGAGGTTGATGCTTGGCTGTATTTGACCAGGTGCCTCTGGATGTGAGTACCCTCCAGTCTGTCAAGTAGGGCAACAGGACTTTTCAGATGAGGCATTTCCTGAGGCACTTCAGAGGTTTTGCAAACAATGAATGTCTCCTCCCTGTCCAATGATGAAGACTTACACTGCTCGAAAGCAACCCTGTGGCGCAGTGGTTAAGCCCTTGGCTGCTAACTGAAAGGTCAAATTTCAAACCCATCAGTGACTCCGTGGGAGAAAAGATCTGGCAATCTGCTCCCATAAACATTATAGCCTAGGAAACCGTATGGGGCATCTCTACTCTGTTTACAGGGTTAGGATGAGTCAGAATTGATTCAATGGCACACAACAATAGCAACATACTGCCCGAGGAACTTGGTTCCACCTCTCCTATTTTTTGTATTGGGTTTCTCAGTGAAATTGGGGTTATTCATTTGGAGAGAGAGAGAAATGTAAGGCTAAATAAAAAGAAGTGTGCAAATCACTGCTTTTCATATTCATATGGATTACACGTGGTGGACTTCCCATGAGGTATGCATATAGGTGGTGGCCGTGTTGCGGTATTTGAATTTTGTATCCACAGCCCCGTTGACTTACAGGATTCTCATTCATTAGGGTTGGAAGATACTTTAGTCGTGTCTAGTCTATCCCTAAGGTTTCCTTCTCGGAAACACTGAGAAGAATCCCAGATTCTTCCACATCTGCCTCCTACATGCAGATCCGTGTTCTGTCTTCTGGAGTCTTGTTGTGTGCCATCAAATCAATTCCAACTCATAGCGACCCTATATAACAGGGTAGAACTGCCCCAGAGGGCTTCCTGGGCTGTAATCTGTATGGGAGCAGACACCAGAACTTCTTTCCTGTATTCGAACTGCTGACTCTTTGGTTAACAGCCGAGGGCTTTAACCACTATACTATGAAAGCTCCTTTCTGGAGTCTTAAAAATAAATGAGTTGACATGTTAGCCTGTTCAGATGCTGGACAGCAATGATGATTCAGTCACTTAGCAGACTGAGTGAGCACCCACTATGGACCTGGCATTTTTCAAGGTGCAAGAGATGCCAAGAATAATACCCTCTCCCATAGTAGAGGAGTGGGAGAGGCAAACCCAGGCCGATATTTAGAGCATTGTGACAAGGGCACAGAATGTTGCAGTGAGCCGGGTGCAGGCTTCAGGACAGTCAGCCAGAGCAGACTTTCTGGACTAAGTGACTCCTGATGTTTCTCAACGGGTGGGTGGAGGTGAGGTCTCTGCAAGACAGGTCCACTTGAGAAAAGGCAGGCAGGCAGAAAACAGAGTGAGGCGCCAACATTCCACACTGTGTTTATTTGTTACTTCTGTTTCTCTCTGGTATCATTGTTTCTTTTCCATAAACTGCATGTCATCCAAGCACAGCGCTAGGAACCCGTTTCTTGGCCTGACACATCAGAGAAGACAGTGGACGTGGCCATCCTCAGAAATGCTGCTGTGTTTTGAGAAAGCCATGTGGAGTATTTATCATTATTTTTTCAACAACTTGCAGTTCAGGATGTATGTGTGCAAAATTGATGGTCATTTCTCCTCTATCCACATACCATATATTACCATACTTGGTTCATGCAGCTGTGTTTATTCTAAGTATCTCTGAGGTGAACACTGGATCAGAGTTATGTTGTTCTTTCTCTCCGGCTTTAAATTTAAAAATAGTCAGCCAATAGATAATGAAGTGTTTCAGATCTCCTGAGTGGCTTCCAGAGAACAGAGATGGCCTGGACTGCATCTTTCTGGATTCTTTCCAGCCTCCCTCTTTGCGTCACATTTTAAATTAGAAAGGGTCTAAGAGAAATTGAATATTAATTATGCTAATGAGCAATTCATGTTGAAAAGATGGTTTTCATTTAGAAGCTGTATCTGAGACAGTTCCCAAAGTTAATGCCTATTTGAGTAATGAAATCTTAAAAGACTGGGCTATCAGTGCAGTAGAATCATAAAATCCAGAGTTGAAGGTGATTTTTTGCACCTTTCTATAGCATAATATTTTGCAAATATATGTTTAAGGCTGTGTATTTGTTGTTGGAAGGCTGTGGCACAGGCTAAATGAAAGGCATTTTAGTTGAAATAGACACGTAGGAGTTTGAGGGGTGTGTGCACGTGTGTTTTAGTTTATTTATGGCCACTAATGTCCTTTATCAGAGCAGACAACCTTACCCAAATCTGGACATGGCTTGTTAGAAAGTTTATTAGAAGAATGGGGACATACACAGGAAGTAAATCATGTCCATTCCAGACCTAGGTTCAGGTGCAAGTGACAGAAAACACACAATAGTGATGGTTGAAATGAGATGGAAGTTGATTCTCACGTAAGTCTTGGGTTCCATGGTCCCAGGCTGCTGTGTCAGAGACCCAGGCTGCTACTGTCTTATTGCTCTATTATGTATGGCCTCTATCTCTGAAGTCGCCTCTTAGCTCAAGGATTCTCCAGCCACCATCGCACTGTCTGCATTCCTCCCAGCAGCAGGGAGAAAAAGGGAAAGAGAAAGGCATGCTCCCTCCCTTAAAAGCCATTTCCGAGAAGGTGCACATTTGCTCACATCCCATTGGTCAGAACTTAGTCACATGGCCACAGCTGGCCTCAAAGGAGGCTGGGTAATGTAGTCTTTATTCTGGGATACCATATTTCCAGATTTTAAAAAATTGAGTGGTTTTATACTACAGAAATAAAGAAGACTTGATATTGGGGATTATTAGTCCGTCACAATCATTCATTTGAAAATGTAAGTGTAGAAGGTTTTTATCATCTAATTGGTTGACTGCTTTCTGCTCTCACAGTCCTGTGAGAGTATCTTCATTGTTTGCAGGGTTTTTTTGTTTGTTTTAAATAACTGCTAGCTATATTTTAAAGAGCCCTAGTGGGGTTATATGGAAACCCTGGTGGCGCAGTGGTTAAGTACTAGGGCTACTAACCAAAAGGTTGGCAGTTCCAATCCACCAGGCGCTCCTTGGAAACTCTATGGGGCAGTTCTACCCTGTCCCATAGGGTCACAATGAGTTGGAATTGGCTCAACAGCACACAACCACAACAGCCATATATTAAAGTATATGGACTTCTGGTACCAGACAAGCAGTGGACAGATAATCTGGTCATGAAGCATCGTGACGCACAACCTGTCTGATATGTAAATTTCCAATTCCTTAAAAGTTCTTTAGAACTAATCATCTCAAGCTGTGTTATTTTAAGGCATTATTTAAAACAAAGAAACATATATTTAATATAAAAGCTAATTTTTTCTGAATTATCGTAAATACCTATGTAACAAAGCGTTTGCTTTTTCAATGGTCTTCATATGTTCAGTTCAATGACATTAGTTATGTTTATCATCCTGTTCAACCATTACCATTATCCGTTGCCAAGTTTTCACGTCACCCTTAACAGAAGCTGGAAGAGCTAAAATTTTAATCGAAAGTGACCAACGAATGCTTTTGCTTTGCTGTGTTCTGTATTGCTTTGTTGCAGATAAAGAAACTTGAATCTCGGCTCAGTAAAACTGAGTGCACTGATGCAAACGGTAAATCTCACATAAACAATGCAAAATGGAAAAAGGATCCATGCACCATTTGTGAATGCAAAGTGAGTATGGAGATCTGTTCTCACTATCTTAAATTACACTCTGAAATCCCAAGAGTCGGATTGACTCAGCTAAAGGGTGGAGATTGCCTGCTGGGTGGGCCCAAGTTTCAGAAACAAACCTCCTCCCCTTCCCCATTTCTGACCTCCCACCCCGTCTTTCATACAGAAGCACCTGGTCTGGCCGGGACGCTTTACTGTTGCTGGGGGAAGCACTGCAGGTGCAGAGCCCGTGCATAAACATGCCCCTCAGAACGGGCTGCACGCACCCACTGCGGGTTGGCGGCACCCACCCACTGCGGGCAGGTGTGCTGGAACCAGCCCACGAGAGCCGTTGTGCTCTTCGCTTCCCAGCTCCGTATTTTGGTAGCTTAAAGTTGGCCACGTTGGGAGTATTTACAAAGGCTGAACCTGCAAAGGCTACAAATCAGGGCTCCC